GTGCATGTGTGTGTGTGTGTGTTATAGTGTGTGTGTTATAGTGTGTGTGTGTGTGTTATAGTGTGTGTGTGTTATAGTGTGTGTGTGTGTGTGTGTTATAGTGTGTGTGTGTGTGTTATAGTGTGTGTGTGTTATAGTGTGTGTGTGTGTTATTGTGTGTGTGTGTGTTATAGTGTGTGTGTGTGTGTTATTGTGTGTGTGTGTTATAGTGTGTGTGTGTGTGTGTTATTGTGTGTGTGTGTTATAGTGTGTGTGTGTGTGTTATTGTGTGTGTGTGTTATAGTGTGTGTGTGTGTGTGTTATTGTGTGTGTGTGTGTTATTGTGTGTGTGCGTGTGTGTGTTATAGTGTGTGTGTGTGTGTGTGTGTGTGTGTGTGTGTTATAGTGTGTGTGTGTTATAGTGTGTGTGTGTGTGTTATAGTGTGTGTGTGTGTGTGTTATAGTGTGTGTGTGTGTGTTATAGTGTGTGTGTGTGTGTTATAGTGTGTGTGTGTGCGTGTGTGTGTGTGTGTTATAGTGTGTGTGTGTGTGTTATAGTGTGTGTGTTATAGTGTGTGTGTGTGTGTTATAGTGTGTGTGTGTGTTATAGTGTGTGTGTGTGTTATAGTGTGTGTGTGTGTGTGTGTTTATGTGTGTGTGTGTGTGTGTTATAGTGTGTGTGTGTGTGTGTGTTATAGTGTGTGTGTGTGTGTGTTATAGTGTGTGTGTGTGTTATAGTGTGTGTGTTATAGTGTGTGTGTGTGTGTTATAGTGTGTGTGTGTGTGTGTGTGTTATTGTGTGTGTGTGTGTTATAGTGTGTGTGTGTGTTATAGTGTGTGTGTGTTATTGTGTGTGTGTGTGTGTTATTGTGTGTGTGTGTGTTATTGTGTGTGTGTGTGTGTGTTATAGTGTGTGTGTGTTATTGTGTGTGTGTGTGTGTTATAGTGTGTGTGTGTGTTATAGTGTGTGTGTGTGTTATAGTGTGTGTGTGTTATTGTGTGTGTGTGTGTGTGTTATTGTGTGTGTGCGTGTGTGTGTGTGTGTGTTATTGTGTGTGTTATGTGTGTGTGTGTTATAGTGTGTGTGTGTGTGTTATTGTGTGTGTGTGTTATTGTGTGTGTGTGTGTTACAGTGTGTGTGTGTGTTATTGTGTGTGTGTTATTGTGTGTGTGTGTTTTGTGTGTGTGTGTGTGTGTGTTATTGTGTGTGTGTTATTGTGTGTGTGTTATTGTGTGTGTGTGTGTGTGTTATTGTGTGTGTGTTTGTGTGTGTGTGTGTTTGTGTTATTGTGTGTGTGTGTGTTACAGTGTGTGTGTGTGTTATGTGTGTGTGTGTTATAGTGTGTGTGTGTGTGTGTGTGTTATATTGTGTGTGTGTGTGTGTTATAGTGTGTGTGTGTGTGTTATAGTGTGTGTGTGTGCGTGTGTGTGTGTGTGTTATAGTGTGTGTGTGTGTTATAGTGTGTGTGTGTGTGTGTGTGTGTGTTATAGTGTGTGCATGTGTGTGTGTTATAGTGTGTGTGTGTGTGTTATAGTGTGTGTGTGTTATTGTGTGTGTGTGTTATAGTGTGTGTGTGTTATAGTGTGTGTGTGTGTGTTATAGTGTGTGTGTGTGTTATAGTGTGTGTGTGTGTGTTATAGTGTGTGTGTGTGTGCGTGTGTGTGTGTGTTATAGTGTGTGTGTGTGTGTGTTATAGTGTGTGTGCATGTGTGTGTGTGTGTTATAGTGTGTGTGTTATAGTGTGTGTGTGTGTGTTATAGTGTGTGTGTGTGTTATAGTGTGTGTGTGTGTGTGTTATAGTGTGTGTGTGTGTGTTATAGTGTGTGTGTGTTATAGTGTGTGTGTGTGTTATTGTGTGTGTGTGTGTTATAGTGTGTGTGTGTGTGTGTTATTGTGTGTGTGTGTTTATAGTGTGTGTGTGTGTGTGTTATTGTGTGTGTGTGTGTTATAGTGTGTGTGTGTGTGTTATTGTGTGTGTGTGTTATAGTGTGTGTGTGTGTGTTATTGTGTGTGTGTGTTATTGTGTGTGTGCGTGTGTGTGTTATAGTGTGTGTGTGTGTGCGTGTGTGTGTGTGTGTGTTATAGTGTGTGTGTGTGTTATAGTGTGTGTGTGTGTGTTATAGTGTGTGTGTGTGTGTGTGTTATAGTGTGTGTGTGTGTGTTATAGTGTGTGTGTGTGTGTGTTATAGTGTGTGTGTGTGTGCGTGTGTGTGTGTGTGTTATGGTGTGTGTGTGTGTGTGTTATAGTGTGTGTGTGTTATAGTGTGTGTGTGTGTGTTATAGTGTGTGTGTGTGTGTTATAGTGTGTGTGTTATAGTGTGTGTGTGTGTGTGTGTTATAGTGTGTGTGTGTGTGTGTGTTATAGTGTGTGTGTGTGTGTGTTATAGTGTGTGTGTGTGTGTGTGTATTGTGTGTGTGTGTGTTATAGTGTGTGTGTTATAGTGTGTGTTATAGTGTGTGTGTGTGTGTGTGTGTTATTGTGTGTGTGTGTTATAGTGTGTGTGTGTTATAGTGTGTGTGTGTTATTGTGTGTGTGTGTGTGTGTTATTGTGTGTGTGTGTTATTGTGTGTGTGTGTGTGTGTTATAGTGTGTGTGTGTTATTGTGTGTGTGTGTGTTATTGTGTGTGTGTGTGTTATTGTGTGTGTGTGTGTGTTATAGTGTGTGTGTGTGTTATAGTGTGTGTGTGTTATAGTGGTGTGTGTTATTGTGTGTGTGTGTGTGGTTATTGTGTGTGTGTGTTATTGTGTGTGTGTGTGTGTGTGTTATTGTGTGTGTGCGTGTGTGTGTGTGTTATTGTGTGTGTTATTGTGTGTGTGTGTGTGTTATAGTGTGTGTGTGTTATTGTGTGTGTGTGTTATTGTGTGTGTGTGTGTTACAGTGTGTGTGTGTGTTATTGTGTGTGTGTGTTATTGTGTGTGTGTGTTATTGTGTGTGTGTGTGTGTTATTGTGTGTGTGTTATTGTGTGTGTGTTATTGTGTGGTGTGTTATTGTGTGTGTGTTATTGTGTGTGTGTGTTATTGTGTGTGTGTGTGTGTGTTATTGTGTGTGTGTTTGTGTGTGTGTGTTTGTGTTATTGTGTGTGTGTGTGTTACAGTGTGTGTGTGTGTGTGTGTTACAGTGTGTGTGTGTGTTATTGTGTGTGTGTGTTATTGTGTGTGGTGTTATAGTGTGTGTGTGTGTGTTACAGTGTGTGTGTGTGTTATTGTGTGTGTGTGTTGTGTGTGTGTGTTATAGTGTGTGTGTGTGTGTTATAGTGTGTGTGTGTTATAGTGTGTGTGTGTGTTATAGTGTGTGTGTGTGTTATAGTGTGTGTGTGTTATTGTGTGTGTGTGTGTGTTATTGTGTGTGTGTGTGTTATTGTGTGTGTGTGTGTGTGTGTTATTGTGTGTGTGGTGTGTGTGTGTGTGTGTTATTGTGTGTGTTAGTAGTGTGTGTGTGTGTTATAGTGTGTGTGTGTTATTGTGTGTGTGTGTTATTGTTGTGTGTGTGTTACAGTGTGTGTGTGTGTTATTGTGTGTGTGTATTGTGTGTGTGTGTTATTGTGTGTGTGTGTGTGTTATGTGTGTGTGTTATTGTGTGTGTGTTATTGTGTGTGTTATTTGTGTGTGTGTGTTATTGGTGTGTGTTATTGTGTGTGTGTGTGTTATTGTGTGTGTGTTATTGTGTGTGTGTGTGTGTGTTATTGTGTGTGTGTTTGTGTGTGTGTGTGTGTGTGTTATTGTGTGTGTGTGTGTGTTACAGTGTGTGTGTGTGTGTGTGTGTTACAGTGTGTGTGTGTGTTATTGTGTGTGTGTGTTATTGTGTGTGTGTGTTATTGTGTGTGGTGTGTGTGTTATTGTGTGTCTGTGTTGTTGTGTGTGTGTGTGTGTGTGTGTGTGTTATAGTGTGTGTGTGTGTGTGTGTTATAGTGTGTTTGTGTGTGTGTTATAGTGTGTGTGTGTGTGCGTGTGTGTGTGTGTGTGTTATAGTGTGTGTGTGTGTGTTATAGTGTGTGTGCATGTGTGTGTGTGTGTGTTATAGTGTGTGTGTTATAGTGTGTGTGTGTGTGTGTTATAGTGTGTGTGTGTGTGTTATTGTGTGTGTGTGTGTGTGTGTGTGTGTTATAGTGTGTGTGTGTGTTATAGTGTGTGTGTGTGTGTGTTATAGTGTGTGTGTGTGTGTTATAGTGTGTGTGTGTGTTATAGTGTGTGTGTGTTATTGTGTGTGTGTGTGTTATTGTGTGTGTGTGTGTTATTGTGTGTGTGTGTGTGTGTGTGTTATTGTGTGTGTGTGTGTGTGTGTGTTGTGTGTGTTATTGTGTGTGTGTGTGTGTGTGTGTGTGTGTTATTGTGTGTGTTATTGTGTGTGTGTGTGTTATAGTGTGTGTGTGTGTTATTGTGTGTTTGTGTTATTGTGTGTGTGTGTGTTACAGTGTGTGTGTGTGTGTGTGTTACAGTGTGTGTGTGTGTTATTGTGTGTGTGTGTTACAGTGTGTGTGTTACAGTGTGTGGTGTTATTGTGTGTGTGTGTGTTACAGTGTGTGTGTTATTGTGTGTGTGTGTGTGTGTGTTACAGTGTGTGTGTGTGTGTTACAGTGTGTGTGTGTGCATGTGTGTGTGTGTGTGCATGTGTGTGTGTGTATTATGGTGTGTGTGTGTTATAGTGTGTGTGTGTGTGTTATAGTGTGTGTGTGTGTGTTATAGTGTGTGTGTGTGTTATAGTGTGTGTGTGTGTGTGTGTTATAGTGTGTGTGTGTGTGTGTGTTATAATGTGTGAGTGGTGTGTGTTATAGTGTGTGAGTGTGTGTGTGTTATAGTGTGTGTGTGTGTGTGTGTTACAGTGTGTGTGTGTGTTATAGTGTGTGTGCATGTGTGTGTTATAGTGTGTGAGTGTGTGTGTGTTATAGTGTGTGAGTGTGTGTGTTATAGTGTGTGAGTGTGTGTGTGTTATTGTGTGTGTGTGTTACAGTGTGTGTGTGTGTGTGTTATTGTGTGTGTTATAGTGTGTGTGTGTTAGAGTGTGTGTGTGTGTGTGTTACCTTGTCCTCCTGCTCTCTTTCCTTCAACAGTTGAAATGTCTGTGAAAATATTCAACATTAATTTATTGCTGGTAGTGAAGCATCTCCCTCATCGTAGATCTTTCATCCTGTTGCTGTAACTGGGTCATGTTGACCTGCTGTTGAGCATTATGGGTAATGTAGTTGGTTCTGGTTCTGGTTCTTACCATGGGCCTCTGGCTGGACATTGAGGATTCTGATGATGAAGATGAGGAGGATGAAGATGAGGACGACGTCCTCTGCTGAGGGTCCGGCGCTGCAGTGACCTGCAGACAGAACCCAGCAGAACCGCGATGGGTCATCTGGTTCTGGACTGGATTGGGTCGGCTAACGGTTCTGGTTCTTTGACTCAGCTGGACTTCAGAGACATGAAGTCACCAACAGAGATCCAAGGTGGAGCGGTTCTGATCCAAGGTGGACCGGTTCTGATCCAAGGTGGACCGGTTCTGATCCAAGGTGGACTGGTTCTGATCCAAGGCGGACCGGTTCTCCTGGTTACCAGGGGCAAACCCGTGGTTCTGACTAAATGTTTAATCAGAGTAGAACATGTGGAGACGGACCACCAGAACCACCAGAACCATCAGAACCATCAAAACCACCAGAACCACAGTGGAACCAGTCTGACCTGGTTCTGACCCATCCATTCTAAGGTCCGGTTCTCTCCTCACATGATCCTGAAGCCTTTTGGTCCAGTTGAATTCTTCTGGGCCTTAAAACTCCAGATCTGGACCAGAACCAGTGTCCAATTCCCATCAGAACCTAAAGTCTTACCGCAGTTTGGGCCGCTTGCTGCTGCAGAACCATCAGAACCAGTCTCCATGTTTCCCAGGAAGCTGTTCAAAGACAAACATGGGTCACTGATCCGGACCGGTTCTGATAGAACCCTTCATCAGGTCCAGTCTTACAGGAGCAGCCTGGTTCTGATCCAGCAGGCTCAGGAGGATCAAACACGTCCACATCCTGGTCCGATCCAAAAGCAGCTGCTCCGAGTCGATGGACGGGTTCTGGTTCTGTCCTGACTGGGTCTGCTGGTTCTGGTCTCTTATTGTCCTGAACAGGAAGTGGGCTGTGGTCATGTGACCCGCGGTTCCGCCCCCCTCCTCCAGCCCATCGACCTCAACGACAGGCTGATTTATGGCCCGGTTCTGGTTCTGGTGTTGCTTCATGTCTGAGGGGAACCGCAGGAACCTGTCATCAGAACATTCCTGATATAACTCCAGAACCGCCCCATTCCGGGTCAGAACTTTGTCCTCCACCCACCGAGCAGACCGACCCGGTCCGGTTCTGGTAAACCTCTGGTACCAAACTGGATGTGAACCAGACTGGAACCAGAACCGGTAATGATGGGACGGTTCACCTGAGGCTGGACACACCTGGACCGGATACGGACCAGTTACAGAACCAGTTACAGAACCAGTTGCAGAACCAGTTACAGAACCAGTTACAGAACTGATTCTTGATGAAAAACTGGTTCCAGTAACTTCTCTAACTTCTGGGGAAGAACACCTGCTGCAGGTAACAGGAAGGGGCGGGACTACTGTAAATGACCATGACTATTATACGGCACGAATATTCATTAATTATCAGTTAATAGTTAATATGTCGCGCTTTATTTCATGACAGAAGGTTTAATTACAGAATGTAAGAAAAAGAATTTATATGTTAAAGTAAAATGTGAAAACAACACTGTTTGAGTTATTAATGTATTTTATTTGTATGTTCTGTAGCTCTTACGGTGTGTTCACATAAAAAGGCATTCAATAAACGTTGTGAACCATCAGTTTGAGAGACCATCCATTCAACCGGGACGCTACAACTACTGTCAACCTCAGACCTTATATGGAAATGGATCATTGCACTCCGTAAGTGTAGGGGGCGCTATTTCCTATATTATTCATGTCTCCGGTTTATATTTTCTTTTGATATCTGATAAATTTTCACCTTTAGGAAGGATTTTCACTCTCAGCTTTTATTTAAACTTCTCTCTTTTATTTACTTAAGCATCTTACAGTTTTTAACAGATTCTGTAGCTTTCTGTGAACTTATAAATCTGCTCCTTTGTCACGTCTTTTCTGGCCTGATACTGCCTCTAGTGGTGTGGGGTGGTAACACAACTAATATAATCACATTACTAAATCAGAATAGCACAAAGTCTTTATTATTTACTACTAATTTCAACATTACTGGAACCATAAAAGATAAATTATCTTATAAAACACCAGTTTTTTAAATTTTCTTAAGGAAGTAGATATGGAGGATCAGAGTTCTGCGGCCCAGTCAGAACAGAACCGATCTGTTTGGGTCAGGGTTCTGTTTGGGATTGGGTCAGAAGCTGAACATCTGGAGGGATCCGGTTCCACTGATCCGGATCATCGTCATGGATCCGGTCCTTTTACCAGAACCAGGGGGGTTGGTCTGGACCTTATCTCCACCAGAACCAGAACAGAACCAAGGACTGCTCCAGATGTTAAACGTTCTGTTGGGTCAGAACCACCAATCATCAGAAGACTGTAATCGGTTCTGCTCAGCCCAGTTGGACTCTGGCCCGGTTCTGCTCAGATTGGACCTCAGAGATTCTAAATACCATTGATAGAAATGTGTGGATAAATTTTATATTTTATGTTGCAGAAGAGGATTTTTGTGTCTTTGCAACAGTTAACGGATCAAGAACCACAGAACCAACTGGACCGGTCCAACATCTCTTTATTAAACACAGAACAACTCAATAAATACAGCAAGTCCGACCCGGTTCTGCTGACCCGGTTCTGCTCCATCCAGTGTTCAGGTCCAAATGCAGACTGTTCTGACCATGGAGCGATTCTGGTTCTGAAGGACAGAGAGAAGTGGGTCAGGAGTCGGGTCAGAACCAGAACCGGTCAGGCGGCCCGCGGGCTGTAGTACGGGTCAGAACCAGAACCGGTCAGGCGGCTGTAGTACGGGTCAGAACCAGAACCGGTCAGGCGGCTGTAGTACGGGTCAGAACCAGAACCGGTCAGGCGGCCCGCGGGCTGTAGTACGGCAGGGAGCGGATGAAGGAGTCCAGTCTGGTTCCGAACAGGTCGCTGTCCAGAGGCTGGCCGGACGGAACCAGAGGGTTCTTCACCACCAGGTCCACATAGAGCTGCAATACAGACGGGTCGGTCAGAACCTGGACCAGAACCAGGACCATTTTGGACCCGACATCAGAACCGTTCTGATATCTGCATTGGTCCCAGCATAGAAAAACTTTTCTATATCAGGATCAGTGAGTGTGCTGATCCATAAGGCAGATCTAGTCGGTCTAGTTCTATACTTTTTGCTCTGGTGCCCCGCCACAATAAAAGCCCAGTTGTTTTATTTCTATGTTCATAGCGTATCAGATAAATTCATATCTATGTTTTTTGTGTTTCTATGATGTAAAGATCTATGAGGCGAAATGCACTGCACTAATAAACCTGATTGATTGATTGATACAGATATATCCTCTATATTTCTGCACTGATTCAAACACAATGAGATAAATTTAAGTATCTCGAAAAGTTAAATTTTACCTTTACCCTTGATGAGTTTCCTGTCCTAAAAGCGCCTCCTGCTGTCAATGTTATGGACCCTTTACTGGTCATTCACAGCTTGATTTATTATTAGTTTGAAGTTAGCACATGGCTAATTAGCCTGATCACATGACTCATGCTAACAGTTAGCAGTGATAACAGCCACCATGAAGAAACAAAACAAGCCAGGAATGAATTAATGTCTGAAGGAATATTTCAGTTTCTCAGGCTGAGCTGTTGAATTTTTATTTTTTCAGATCATGATTCTGATCCACAGCATGCTAACAGATCCACAACACGCTAACGGGTCTACAGCATGCTAACGGATCTACAGCATGCTAACGGTCTACAGCATGCTAACGGGTCTACAGCATGCTAACGGATCTACAGCATGCTAACGGATCTACAGCATGCTAACGGATCTACAGCACGCTAACGGATCTACAGCATGCTAACGGGTCTACAGCATGCTAACGGGTCTACAGCATGCTAACGCATCTACAGCATGCTAACGGATCTACAGCATGCTAACGGATCTACAGCATGCTAACGGATCTACAGCATGCTAATGGATCTACAGCACGCTAACGGATCTACAGCACGCTAACGGATCTACAGCATGCTAACGGGTCTACAGCATACTAACGGATCTACAGCACGCTAACGGATCTACAGCATGCTAACGGGTCTACAGCATGCTAACGGATCTACAGCACGCTAACGGATCTACAGCATGCTAACGTATCTACTGCATGCTAATGGATCCACAACATGCTAACGGATCTACAGCATGCTAACGGATTCACAGCATGCTAACGGATCTACAGCATGCTAACGGATCTACTGCATGCTAAGAGACCCACAGCATTCTAATGGATGCATGCTAATGCATGCTAACAGATCCACTGCATGTTAACGAATCCACAGCGCTGACCAACTGCTTCTACACACCTAAATAAATAATTATGTCAGGTTTTGTTTCAAGGTGAAAAAACTTCGTCCAACATGTTCGTTATTGATTTATGTTTATTTGAGGAAATCATAGATGAGCATTGATGAGACGTTCAGGAACAATTCGGCTCCTGAATGGCTTCATGCTGTTAATGGAGGGACTGACGCTGCTGTTTGTTTTTTACCTTTAGCCTGATTCTAAAGCTTTACTTCAACTATTAACTTTATTTAAATTAAAGTTATTTAAATAACAATACATAAATACCATTGATAGAAATGTGTAGATAAATTTTATACTTTATGTTGGAGAAGAGAATTTTTGTGTCTTTGCAACATTTGAACAAATGTTCAATTTAAATGTTTAAAGTCAATTTATCACTATTTATCGGTATCGGATCAATATCAGCCGATACCCCAGATATTGGACCATATTGGAAGTGAATGCATCGGTGCATCTATTTAGAACCCAGAAAGACTAAAACCTGATTCTCGTCCAGAACCAGAACCGGGCTATGTTTGTGTGTAGCCTTGTTTTGCTACACTGTGAGGTCCAATTGGTCCTTATGGGGCCCACAACCCGGGACCAGGGCCTGTTTTTTGGGTTCTGAAGTTTGGAAAAGAGTTTAAGGTTCATGTGAGGATTGGGCCGTAGAAATGAAACAGCAACGGAGGGAAAGTCCTGATGTAGACAGGAAGACATACGTGTGTGTGTGTGTGTGTGTGTGTGTGTGTGTGTGTGTGTGTGTGTGTGTGTGTGTGTGGTAGGTTGCTGTAGATGTGCTGCAGCGTGTGTGTGTGTGTGTGTGTCGTACGTTGCTGTAGATGTGCTGCAGTGTGTGTGTGTGTCGTAGGTTGCTGTAGATGTGCTGCAGTGTGTGTGTGTGTGTGTGTGTGTGTGTGTGTGTGTGTGGTACGTTGCTGTAGATGTGCTGCAGCGTGTGTGTGTGTGTGTGTGTGTGTGTCGTACGTTGCTGTAGATGTGCTGCAGTGTGTGTGTGTGGTACGTTGCTGTAGATGTGCTGCAGCGTGTGTGTGTGTGTGTGTGTGTGTGTGTGTGTGTGTACGTTGCTCGTACGTTGCTGTGATGTGCTGCAGCGTGTCCCTGGCGTTGCTCTGACAGGTCCGTGTTCATGACGAACTTCAGGCCGCTGGCCGTCTCGTAGTAATGGAGGCGGTACTTACTGGTCTGGAAGGACAGGAAGCCGTCCTTCCTGGGGATGCGCTAAGGACCACAGGAGGACACATTGGTAACATGGCAACCAGGCAGCTAATGAAGGATACATGTCCTGAGGAGACATCTTGCTGACAAAAGACCTAATGGAGAACAGCATCCCGTACATCAGCTTGAACTCCTGCAGACACACACACACACACACACACACACACACACACACACACACACACACACACACACACACACTGACTAGTTACTGACTGGTTAATGCTGGTTGTTTATTAGTTTGTTGCTGTGTGACGTCACCTCATCCTTAGAGATCCCCGCCTGCTTCTTCCGGTTCCACTCATTATAAAACAAGCAGCTTCCATTCCGGTCAAATATGTACAGATTATGAACCGTCATCTGAAGCACAGAGCAACCAATCAATCAATAATCAATAAATCATGTTAATAAATAGTGACAATAACTTAAGCTATGCCGGATAAGCGATCTGCTTCTCCATATTTACAATATTTATTGCAGTGCTTTTCTACCGCGTCTTCAAAGTTTTAAATGTTGAAATGAAAATGTAAAGTTTTTAAAATGGAGTCTGGTTCACGACTGCGGTCAGATGGAGTTT